CTTTTGGAATGTAATGGTCCTGACTTATGAATGAAGTTTATCTATAAGTGGCTTCAAACTAACATGGTTATGGTCACTCAATTTAATAAAGTTAGGTAGATTAAGCCTGGGAAAAATTGTTCTTCATTCGAGCTTCGAAAATTTAAAGGCCTGTATTCCTAAAAATCTTGGACTTATCTTCTTATGATCGTGTGGAGACGTTGTCCTGTTCATGACCTCAAACTGACATGATTATAGTCATTCAGGTTCCTGCAGATCGGCAGAAATATGCGTTTGAAAAAATGACTTTCGAAATACCTTGAATATTATAAAGGCCTCTCTTCGGAAAACCACTGGACTTATATTGTCGTGACTATGACATGGCGATGACCTGTCCGTGACCTCAAACTGACATGAGTATTGTTACTTAGATTCCTACAGATTGGGAGAAATATGCTCTTGACAAAATGACCTTTGAATGACCTTGAGAAATTTAAAAGCATTTATTCGGGAAACCTACGGACTTATATTGTCGTGATTATGACATGACGGTGACCTGTGCGTGACCTCAAGCTGCCATAAGTATTGTCACTCAGATTCCTGCAGATCGGTAGAAAAATGCGTTTGAAAATAATGGCTTTCAAAATTCCTTGAAAAATTTAAAGGCCTCTACTCGGAAATTCCCGGTACTTATATTGTCTTGTCCAGGGCTGTGGTATCGTTACTAAAATCTCCGACTCCTTCATAAAAGCTCAATATGTATTAATAAGGGTAAACCTACTAAAATGGTAAACGACACCATAAGAGATTTCATCACCACAAAGTGAATCATCAGCGTACTTTTGAGACTTATAACCTATATTTAAATATAAGTTTAATGGTTATCGCAGAAATCGGTTGATTTGTAGACAATTTGTATTATTAAGGTACCGGAACCAAAGTTGCAAAGCTTTATTCCAACTCCATGTGGCTGAACGCGTCGTTGAATCTTCCATTGTGTGAGTCTGCCGGCCGTTTACACGGTGTAAAAATTGTTCTTAAGAATTTATATCGACGTCGGAGTCGGTACATTTTTATCGACCCCGACTCCACCTAAATTTGCTTCCGACTCCGACTTCACAGCCCTGATTTTAACACATGCTTGTGTTCTGAGTGAATTAAGTTACACAAGATGTTCTCATAGGTCCCAACCTTACCTGTCATCTCCCATAGCCGCAAGGGCTTCGCTGACGGTTTGTGCTATACCGTCCTGAAACAAGATGCGTGAGTTACATTTTATACCGAAACGTCTAGTGACTATAAAATAACGTCAGATTTTCCATTTTATATGAAGATGTTATTTTCTAGCTTTTCTGGTCTGACAGTGCAGTTACAGAGGCACATAATAATGTATATTAAAACCGGATTTCCCTGCAATGGCTTATTTAAATTAGTTTCTAGAATGGAACAACATGGACACATCAATATTTGATCTTAATGGAGAATTATGGCAAATACTACTATTTACTGAAATTAAACTGCAAATAACAGATGCTTTCAAGGCAATTGATGTAAGAGACAATCGGATTTTTGTCTTAGTTCTGTATTTTAATAGATCCGCTAGTGTTTTTGTGTTTGTTTTAAAAATTGTCACAAGTCCATGAAATGCATTGCATTAAACATGTTTTTAATATGTATTATCTGAAGCTTTCACGGCGACTAAGTACGTATAATGAATTATTCTCGGGCTACCAGCCGTGTCAGGTGGTTTAATGGAGAAAAACACCAACGCTTCAAGAACTGAACTTTAGTACCCTGAGGATAAGTAACTGCGTTGTAAAGATAAAAAAAGTTTATTTAATGTGGCTAAGGTCTACTGTTACTTGATACTTACCAAAGTCTTTAGGTTTGCGTGTGCATTCTTTGTGTAACTCCATAGGTAGACAATATTCTAAAAATAACAAGAGTAGCTCATGTAGAATTAGAATTACGTTAATGCGTCTAAACTAGTTTTTGTACTGATTGTAATGAAAGCTATCTTATTTGTCTCAACGGTTTACAGTCATCTTAACTTTCTCTTGATACAGGCCTGCTTTCCATATTGAAAAAGGTTATATTGTTGGAAGGATAAATAATTCAGTGGTTATCAAATATAAAATTGTCAGACGACAGGATTATAAAATACTAGAGCCAAAACTACACAAAAAGTATGACTGTACATCATTTAGGACAAATTTTCCATTCCAGGAATCGTTTTTGGAGTATATCATTAGGTTATTTAAAACATAAAACACCGCAAATTAAAGAAACGTGAATCTGTACTGATATGAAGTATCCATAAATACTTCAGATGCAAAATTTAAAGCAACACGAGCTTTAAAATATTGTAGCTTTCAAGGCATGTATAAGTATTGTTAGAAATATCGTAAACAATTTATTATTGTAAATAATATAATTCAGTATTAAGAGCGAGAAATATCAATTTGATGAAAGGAATGTAAGTTTGTATAATGAACTACCGAATTTATAGTTGAGTGACGATTCATAGGACGAACGGCTGTTGCGACACCAGAGCTAACAACTTTATTTAATTTTATATTTATTCTCGCAGTGTGAACTATTCAGCCTAAACTCCATCTGATTTTGAAAGGTCACGTTCTCCGATTACCGGTTATATGTAAATGTAATAGACCGTAATATATGTGATGTTCAGTTCTGTAGTACTTAACATTTTAGCCATATCGATTGTCACCTCTGACTGTAGCAGGTATATAAACACTGAAAATGAATCTGATATTGTATGAGAGATCAGTCCTCGTTCATCTAGCTATTTTGTCATGGCGGGGCAAAATGTCCTTAAACATAGCGAAACGTAGAGCAGAGTTTCAAAGAAAATACTAATATTCGTATATTCTGTTCCAGAAGATATTAAGAATGACTTTGTATTACATCACTTTTGAAAAATGTAATTTATAGAAATAAGAGGTTGTGGATTGCATGTTCTTATTACATGCGTTTTTAATCGGCTTAACAAATTTTGGCTCGTTTGTGATAGGCCAAGCCCCTAACTCACAAAAAAAATCATATCAATTACTCCAGTTTTATGAAACACGGATTAATGTAAAGAGCTGGTTCTCAACAGTCTATGTTTAACACAAGATTCTCCCGTGCTTAATTTCAGACTAAAATCTGTATTACACGTCTGTGATATTTCTTGTCTTGTTTTGAGGTCAAGAGTAGAATCAAACATTATTATACTGAACATTAAAAACAAAACGCTCGTGTTTGAAATATTTTAACTTCTATTTTAAACTCCGTTGGAGTGCACACGTTTACGAAACGCGTTTTTTTATTTTTCATACTCAATTGTTCTCATTGCTTCTTTATTTTTGATACAGATTTAAAGTTGTAAGACTTATTTCAATGTGGGTATCAGTGCTTATAAAATCAGCAGACGTCTGACTTTGTACTTAGTTAAATATTTACTGTGTCAAAAGTATTCTGAAATAAAACTTCGCATTTATTAAGAAATATTCCTTTATCTTACGCCAGTGTTTTTATGAAGACTATTTTTCACGTAGATGAGCTTTTATAGGCCGGTCGGATTAGTGAAAACCGAAATTAAATTATCCCCAACAGCATTTAATGTAGACACCTAACACAAAATATTATTTTGGTTTTTCCAGTAGATTCGGAAACAAAATAAATGGTTCAGTTTGTGCAACAAACGCAAAGATTCATTAATTAACCTGAAATTCTTGTAGAAATTATAGGTAATTACAAATTTTATACAATTGTTTTCTTCTTCAACGAAGTTCTAAGAATTTATAACGCCTACTTAATTTTATATTCGTCATTGAATATGGTGATCGCAGAAATTATACATCGAAAAGGACATGATTCATATTCGTCATTCAATATGGTGATCGCTGAAATTATACATCGAAAAGGACATGATTTAGTGATAATTGAAATTCTGTCTGTGTTAAGTTTTCCAGTAACTGGGTCAAAACCTCGAAGTTTCATACTGCCGCCATGTTAGTAACTTTTAACTTATGACAACAATTTCTTTCCGAATTGTGTGAGCATACAAGACTTACATCGCCGTAGCGTCGTTGTTCGAGATACAACTTGTGTAGTCTTTTAGAGCTCTTGCCTCCGGTTCCGAGAAAGGTTCTGGGCCGCGTAGTCTTCCGAACACGGGTTGCTATCCATTCCTACCTCTGTAAAGTTTCAAGTAGACCTTTATTGTTATTGTACTACCGTAAAAATTCGTTAAAATTAAACGGGAATGACTTCTTTCTTATCCTCGTGTCTCGCCTATTTTCTGATTTTCCTTCCCAGTTTCGTATCTTTGCCAGCTCTTCTCCAAAACATGCTTTTATATAAAAAGACAATAGAAGTGGGAAAGATAAGTCATGCTGCTTTAAACATGAAGCAAATCGATCCAAGTTTAACATACATGTGAAACGTAGTTGAATTTTTTCTGAGTTTGTAAAACTAGAAAATTGCCTTGGATGTATTTAAAAACTAAAGTGTGTTTTAATGTTAGTTATGCAAACATAATTAAGTCCTTGCTATAGATAAATTTATGGGTATATCCTTGTTTTATTTAAGTATCAGGTGTTGCAGCTAGAGGAAAGATTTCAGATAAATAACTTATAATATACTCGTACGTACTCTAACATAATGCATATTATTTATTTATTTAAAACATATCATTTTTCTGTAAAACTTTATACATAATGACATTTACATTATTGTTATATGTATTATTTTATTCAGCAGTATCATTATAGTTCCAAACTATTGGACTGTACTGTTTTTGCTTTCACATTTTGTTCCAAACAATGTCGGAAAATTTTCTTTAGTACAGTAAATTGCGTGAGTGAGATACTCAAATTCGCTGATAGTCTTCTTTCCTTTAGTTTAGTTCTGGTTTGCTTGTGGTATCGTTATGCGTGTATGCATGCCCTTTTCATAACTTGGAAACATTTGAAGTAATTTTACGAAACTTCGTGTGAACCTCTACCATTACTTTCCATCTCACCGTCGTACTTTTCAATTTAAGAATATTGAATTGTATTTCATAAGAACTGTTGGTTTTTCAAGGAAGCCATTGAACCATGGCGTTAGATCGTTTGTTGAAGTACTGTTCCTCAAATATTGTGCAGTGATGTTCAACGAAGTGTCTGCAACAAGTTGGATTAAAATGCTGTCGCCATTAGAACTCTTCTACCTCACCTAATATGACTTTCAGTACATTTGATGTCATTGATAATTAAATACCAGCGAGGTCTCGTTAAGCTTTGCTTTGTAATTTATTTATTCTATGATGATGTTCTTTTGCTAAATTTATGTTGCCACATTTCATTGCACACGTAGGTACACCATATTACAGTGAACCATGATTTGGTGTGCTGTGAGACGTAGAGAGACAGAAATATAATCCAAAGTGTCACCACTTGGGAAAAATATTTAAAATCCGAAATAAAGGAAATATGCATAAAATGGTATGAACGATTTATTAATTTTCTTCTCAGAAATTTTCCTTCACGTGTCTTCCGAACACACGAACGCCCTCAAAGAACCGCGTGACAGTGGGCTCGATCAGCGAAGCAGGTAGCTCGAAGCCGTATGGGGTATCTGTCAGTTCCACTGTGAACGATAGGTCGATTCCTACAACCCCTTTCATGTAATCGTCACTTCCGCCAGCAGCAGCATCTGTTGGCAACAAATGAACTTACTCAGAACGGGGTCCCATGCTCCTGTTATTAGTGGCATGTAAAATGTCGTAAATTACCATAAAACAGAAAGATGATGAAGTTTAATTAATTTTTAAATGCACTTATTTTGCGGACAATAAATTCATATTAACAATTTTTTTAAATTTTCGCGTTTAATTTTATACAATATTTTTTTTGTCCAAAGCCTCGCTACTCAGCAGTGTGCCGCGTCACACCGGTTAAGGTTGACTCAACGAACTGGGCAATAACTAAGAAACAACTTTTTACCTATTAATGACAAAATAACCAAGTAACTGTTAAGTGGTAACAATAATAACTAACAACCAGTTACATTACTAATAACTAAATAATTATTAACTGATGAAGTAATACTCTTGTAGCAGAACCCGGCGGTTTGCCTTTCTTGATACTGAAGTCCAGTATTCGACACGGCCCGAAGTCCGTTCTGTCCATTCCCACTCTCAAAATGTATTTAAAGTATATTCTGGCGATACCTTTCCACCGTCTTGTCTTCCAAGAAAAATAGACTTTGTTGGTATGCAACATGTATAGGCCTATTCTGAAGACCTGAGCTTCATCGCAAGCAGAACTGAAAATGCTTTATTTTGTGTCAAACGAGAATGTTTCGTTGATATTCTTGAATATACCCAAGAAACATTTTCCTCTGTAAGCCATCTTAGGTTTACTAATCTTTTAAAATCAATGTAACAGTAAATATGCGAATTATTTGAGTTTAGTCCACGAATTATCTTTTTGACAACTAATGCCAGTAAATTTAAAACACATAGGAAATACGAGAAGTGCATAGCAAGTCCAGGGCGAACTCAAAGGCTCAATCCCATGTTCGTAAGTGATCTCCAGTGGACCATATCCTGAGTCTGTTATAACCAGTCCACGCCTTTTGCACCTTGGTGTTTAAAATTATGTTTTCACTCAATAAACTGACATAAATCGAAAACTATTGTATCTCTGATGCTGATAATGGAAGCAGCAAGCACCTCTAAAATGTCGTTAAACATGAACCAGACTACACGGCACAAAACCCAGAAGACAGCCATTTTTATATTTGCCGACGCGAGAACCGAAAATATCACATCTGTTTGCTAGGAAGTCCTTAATCCATTAGATTAATTCCATGTCGACGTCAGACTCAGTGATTCTCAGTACAAAAGATGGCAATCGAATGTCTAAGAGTAATTGTGTTATCTGATGATTAAAATTTGAGTTATGTGTAATATTAACAATTATATGTGATAATAACCTAAAACAATGAAGATGTCCATCGTGATTTTGTTTTTCGATTACAAATAATTTTACCGATTTAACCTGACTCGTGGTACGTTATTGCTAAATATCCTTCCTATGAAATAGAAGTGGAGTGTTTTGGACCTTAAGTTTATTTTTATGAGTTGAAGACTCAATCTCTGAAAAAGAATACTGACCCAGTCTGAACGTAGAAGTATATAATGAATACAGTACCTCATTTCTAGTTTACTTACACAGGACATTTGTAGAAGTTCCTATGCTGAAATGGTTTCCACCTGCTGCTGCATGGGCGTCATCTACTTCCTCAGCCAAGGCTTGCTGTACACAGAATTGAGGAAGATATATTACCAGGTGTACGAACAAGTAGTTACAATCCTTATTTCGGCATATGAATTAAAGACATGGAATACTTTATTTTACGGGACGTATTGTTTCGTGTGCATTACCCAGTTTAGTGTACTGAAAATTAAAACTAAATACATACCAATGTCTGCCAGTCTGAAGGAAGAGCCGAAGTGTATCCCCATGGGTACAAGAGGTACTGGAAAAGATCACACATATTATTATAATGACTCGTTTTTTATAACGACATTAAAACTTACACCACCTTGCTTGCTCCACTAATGTCAAAACGTGTACGTTAAGGAAGTTAATGGAACATTCTATGCCATAATGATCAAATCTCAAAGAAGGAATGCATTTTAAGTTTAAAATAAAACCAAATAATATTTTGTTTAACATTTCCCCCCTTAATGACGAAACTTTACATTTGAAACGCCATGTAATTGTACGTAAATCCTTTGGTATGTCAATATTAACCTCACGCAAAAATTAAGTACTCCTATAGATTTATAAATGTTTTATATAATTAAAGTAGTTCGTTACGTGAAAACGAGTTTAGGAAATTAATACGTGTTGATAATATTTTATTCTATGAAGATTATGTATATACGTATGCATGTATGTAACAAGTCATGCAGCGAGAGTCAGAATATAAAAAATGGGTTTTTATTAATAACGGGGTCTATGTATGTATATATATGTGTACGTGTTTTTATACATGGTTGGTTATGTACACGCTTATACAGCTTCACCTTTTGCATCCAGATCGTGTTATGGAATTAGAAATGCTTTGAGTTTGTGTTGGAAAGAATGTGCGTGAATATAACTAAGTGCAAGACGTACTTCGCCGTAACTGTGGAAAGTCAGGTACAACTTGATTTGATCCTTATGGGCCTCTGCGAAATCGCGTATATGTTGGTTCTCAGGTTCAGAGAAAGCTTCCTCGCCGGCATAAATCTCAGAACAGGGGTAATCGCTGGCTCCATTCTCTGAATTGAAAAATACAAATCCATTTTAAGAACTAAAACCACGAAGATTAAAATACACAAAACTTTGTACTATCTGAAGCTTTCACGGCTACCAGACGTGTCAGGTGGTTGAATGGCGAAAACCATAATCTTGCTTGTTGCTTTTATAGGGCGTGATGTTTGTTCCCTCTTATTAAGAGAACATTTACTATTGATGTCAAAGAATAGAGTGCTCAGAAGATACGCAACAAGGGACCCAGAAAAATGTATGATGATTTATACTTAATTTTATTAAGATAAGAAATCAAAGACGTGAGGTTGGCGAGGTATGTAGCACGCATGGGGACGTTGAGAAATGGTTGGAAAACACGAGAGGAAATCATGCTGTCTGGGAGTTTTTGAGGATATTAATTTTAATATTACATAGACTCAGAGGGGATGGATTCATCTGGCTCAGGTTAGGTACTAGAGGCTGGATTTTGTGAACACGGTAATTTACCTTCGTGTCCCGTAAAAGCTGAGGAATCTTTAACTAGATGAGCGACTCACTTCTTGTATATAGACACTTCTACATACCTATGGATATTTTCTTTTGCAGGTGTTTTTCTTTGAGCCCAAAATCTTCAAAAATAATATTAATGAAATTGCAAACGAAACTCACCCATCCAGTGGAAATCGTAATTCCTATTTTGGTCAACACCTCTGCATACCTGAGTCGTCGTTGGTATGGCTGACCTTGATTTCCTCCACATACGATCCTATGAATGCAAGTTTTTATATTATAACTTAAAAAATCTTGACTTACTAGTTCATTAAACCTACAGGTAGAAAATATATAAAAAAGTTTACCTGAACATATACAAGGCCATGAAATGAGTAACATGCCTTTCTCTAAAAATATGCATTTGGATTTTAATTGTACCATAAATATAACCACGTTTTACTGAAACTTAGGCTGGAAGGTCTTGCCAGATTATTGAAACTGTAAATTTCAATATTATTATCACTCTACACTTTTCCAATCTACAGGTCGTCCAGAAATAGGAGGTCTTTTTCCGTAGCATTTGCATATTTGGACAAAACTATCCATGTTTCAAGGCATTACGGGACCACCATTTAATATCGCATACGTTACACGATATGCAACCGGCACTCAACTCATGTTTTGTCGGTTTTGGTCTTGTGAGCAGTGAAGCCGTATAATCTTTTAGGTGGTTACCAATGTTTCGGAGTACATTTTCGCCTCTGTTTACAAAACTAAATTGTATCACAACAGAAAAGACGGCAATTGACATCTTAATTTCTATGAGAATCTTAATTCCCAGAAATATAGGATTTGTTTCTTCGTGTCTCTCAATGATACAATTAAATAAATGCTGACTGAGCACTAAATATTGGAAATAGGTTAATGGATAGCAGTGTGTAGTTTTGTTTCAGTTTTGTAAGTTATAAGTGGCCCGTGAAATCATAACCTGGTCGGAACCCTGGATTTCTTAGAGAGAAGAAAAATTTAACGTAAATTTAATTTTAAAATGACTGCGAGTTACAAATTTCATGTTAGGAAATGAAATACAGTTTTCGATTTGAAGTTTTTACTACGGTAAAATGCCGACTGTCGTTATATGGATTCAGAATAGGACTTTCTACCCTGAAGATGGAGGCGATCCTTTTTTAGGAATCTTGAGAACTGTGTAAAAGACTGCACAACGTTACAGCCCAAATATTTTAATTGAAATGGCACGTTTTAAAGACATGGGAACTAACATTTGAATGCAACTTATTTGGCAGGAACTCAAATTTTGTCGGCATACTTTTCAAGTGACAAAGGCGTAACTTACATATTTCATTTAACTGGAAAACCATTCGCTATTTGTTACATCATATACTTTAGTATATATGAGGCACAATATATTTTATTCTATGGAAGTAAAGCGTGTCGAGGAATTTTACTTACACTGGTGTGGGAATATTCATACCCATCAGGATTAAGTACGGGCAGAATGTACCAGTCTACTTCATCAGTAAGATCGCTGTTGGCAGCATTGTTTTCCACCAGTTGTTGGATGATGTACAGTGCCATTGCCGGGGCAATCCACTCCCTGGCGTGGATTCCACCATCTACAAGCACTGCGGGTCGATTTCCATTGCCTCCTGTCGAGATCTTTATCACCACCATTTCTCGATTCTCATAACTCAGTCCAATTGATTCTAGTTGAACTAGGTCGGGGTACTGGACGGCTAATTCTTCTAGGTAGATGTTAATCTGGTTAGGAATGAGCAAATATTTTACGTTATTCAGCAACAAATACCACGGAGTAATAGTTTTCTTAGCTATATTTGCTTTTCGAATTGATTAAATTTATACAGCATAATTAAAGTACGTATTTTATTTTTATTTTAATTCTGTAACTGTTTCTTTCTAAAAGGGCTCATGCCTAATGTTCACTTTGTAACTCAATTTTCGTATTTCACACCCATGCAAACAAATTGATCCATAAGATAGATGCTTACATAATGTACCACTTACCTCGCTGTGTCTGTAGTATTGGTTAAATGAGATCTCCCGGGGGGTTTTAGGCACCGTTGCCTGATGTTTAATTTCAGCATCAATCAACCTGAAGACATTTTGTTATTTTTAGGACAGTATCAATTTTAAAGCTACATACATGACTAGAAATTAGAAATGTAACACATTCTCAAAGTTTTATGTAGCATTCTAAGTATCGGAGTTAGGCACATACTCGTATTATGGTAAACGAATCACATCGATGTTATTTTATTTACTGTGTAAACTGTAATAAATATTCCTTTGAAATGTATAAAGTACTGAGTTAATTTAATTGTTTAATTAAAGTAAATATAAAACAATCTAACACTTGAAGAGATAGGTATTATTAATTAACCAGTTATCATGTAATTTAGGACATAATTTGGTTTTGAAGTAACTAAGCAACATATTACAGTTATCCCTCGCATTACGAAATTAATTAGTTCCGAGAAATCTCCGCGTAAAGTGAAATCGCGTAAAGTTAATTAACTTGTACATACATGGGTAAAATAGGGATGCGTTCCAAAATTAAAAATAATCATCCAAAATTTAGAAAAAAATAATTTATTTATTTTTTATTTAATTAGTACATTGATACTGTAATTAATTTCATTTATTTATTTTTTATTCAATTAGTACATTGATACTGTAATTAATTTAATCGTATGATGAATCAACTGATACAGGCGAGTCTAGATCATCCTTTTCTCGCTCCTTTGAAGGCCCTGGGTCGGCGGACTGACGATTTTCAGCTCCATTGAAGAAATGGTCAAGAGACAGTTGGCGGACAGAATTTGTTTCTCCTCCTGTAGAGTTTTTTGTAACAAGCCAAAGAGTTCTGAATCTCTCTAGAAACTTTAGTGCTTTTCTCTCTGTTAGGATTATTCTCGTTAATGACACTAATGCCATTGCCAGTGTGCTTAAAAATTAAGCCATTTGCCATGCTACGTCAACGATCCGTTCGCTACATTCAGACCACTTATTCACATCTAATTTTTCCACGAGGGTTAGAGATTTCCTTTGTTTCTTGCCGCTGGCAGCATTTCGGGCATTGTCATTACGTTTTTTTCATGGAGGTCGATTTTCAGTTACAGTACAAAGTAATACTGAGATACATTTTTTTTAAATCGCGTTATAGCGAAAACACGTAAAGTGAGATCGCGTATAATGACGGATACCTGTGTTCACAAATGAAGTGAAGTACTAATAACTGATAAGTCCATATGCATTTAATATTTACAGAATTTGACTTTTATAGAATTGCGAAAATGTTGTGAGACTAGGAAATGTATGTTGATGAGATTCGTGTCCGTCAGCGGGCTTTGTGTTTCGAATGTTGAACCTTAGGTCTGTACATCCACAGTGTTGGTACGCAATGATTACTCGTCGCAAGTGACTCTAACATGAATACCAGGCAACGAAGTTAAATTACTTACGTTTGAACGTTTTCGTTGAGAACCGTGAAGCCAATCTTGTTGTCTTCGAGAAAGTTTAGGAAGGAAGGCTGTTCCACGGGAGACACCATGATGTCGAGCTTTTCACCATGTTTGTGTGGTTCGTTCCAGAAGTCGAACCCCTGACGGTCCCTGAACGTCTTAAGGAGCTGCAGTTTTTCCTCATTGGGAATCAGACGCAGCACCTTGTACCTGGCCGAAATTTGATAATTTTAAACATCGTTTAGCAAAATTTCTTCGCTAGTTTGCATCATCTTTTATAAACTCAAAATTATTAACTGAGTTTTGTTATAAATTATTTTAATAACACATTTGAAATTAAAAATTAAGCAAAGAAATTCAGAATTTGTCTTAGTAGAATGAATTAGATAAAAATTAACAGTTAAATTGATAATTGAATAGTACTATTAAATTATTGATCTGGTAAATAATACTTTTCTGAGGAAGAATATGTATTTAATGAAAATTAGAATATAGTCCGAATGCATATATGTTCATTGCTTTACAGAGGATTGAATGTTAATCAGTGGACCTTTTACCTTTCAGTCACTTAATCCCATGAGCTTCCGATTTAAATTGTTGTATGTAGTAATTTACAAAATACATTTATGTGCTTAGTTTATGCATTTTGATTGAGCCGATTACAAAACGGGCCTGAGTGCATGTTTTGGATTTTATTTTATTTCTTAGAGAGTTACACTTAAGTAATATTATGTAACTTAGTTCTTTTTCCCTCGTAAAAAGCAACAAGATTATTCTAAAGAGTTTGAAAACGACACGTCTCAAAAAACACTGAAAATTTCTTAAATGTCCAGTAAATCCGCGACATTCCTGTGCATGTTGTAAAACTTTATTTTGTATGATCAAATGATAAAAGATAAAATTTACCTAGCACTAATTTTGGTATTATCAACATTCTGTAAACACTTACGCCGAAATTGAAAACTTCCTTGTTATTTTCCTAACAACTCTGTAGATAATGAGAGTTATGCCAAAAAACAGCCGACATTTATAGAATGGAATTTAAATAATTATTCTAGTAAATTATTTTTACGCAATGAAATTTATTTTCCCCAAGTTTTTTGAACGCTCTTCTGTATTTTCAAAGTAAAAAACATATTTATATTGGATGGAATATAAATAATACTCTCGTATCCAGTTATGTTATAGGTCATTTTTCATATAAACTATTCCGTGTAATATAATTTGTGTTCACTTACCCCTCATAGGATACCCGGCTCGCAATGGCGACGCCTAGTAGAGCTGCCAGCAGTATAAGACGCATGTTTCAACAGTAGGACACCCGCAGCTGGGCTTGCATTTATACAAAACAACATATCTGAGGCTTATCTGTAACACTTAACAATATCGAACTGAATTTTATCTATAAAAAGAAAAGATTCCAATATCTTCAACACGTGGATTGCGATTTAATTATGATAGATTTAATTCGGCCAATATAGCACAAAATAGTTTCCTTTCTCCTAATTGAGCTTCAAAAATTAAACAATCTATTATTAGTACGTGTATATATAATTATGTAACAGCTAATAAATGCACAATTTAAAGATGGTCGTCTTGTGGGATGTTCTACAGTGTAGTATGGTAAATATTTACCGACGTTTCTACACCGTGCCCACCTCCACATCATACGACTTTAGGACAAATTTTAATATTATCCTTCCATCTAATATAGCTTTCCAAGGTATCTCTTTCATCCAGGTTTCCTGGTTAAAAATTCTGTACGCAGTTCTAATCTCCATTTATGACTGCTGTGTGCCCGGTTCATCATATCCACTTGATTTATGAGTAATAAATAATATATATAAATTCTGAATATTCTCTATGATGGACCTTCAAAACTATAAAACCATAGGTTAGACACGCACTGAGGTGGAGATGCTTCATATATTAATGCTGATGGCAAACCGAGGCAGTTTTGTGAATTAGAACTACTCATTTAACCTGGTGACATATATCGTACTTCCCCTAGTGAAGAAGTGCAGAATGCCTGACTCATAACTAAAATTATTAACCTATGTTTGACACAATAATTCTTGCTCAGATCTAAAAGTTTGTGACGATGGTGCGTTTTTAATATAAAAAGTTTTCTGGACGTTTTCCATCGTCTAATAAAATCTTAAAGTCCGGAGATAGGGATTAGGTCTATCGATTGGGTTCAACTGAGTAGGTCTACCTGAAGACTGAGATAGAGTCCCATCTCCGAAACGTCGTGTAATTTTACGAGTTTATTAGACGATGGAAAACATCCAGAAAACTTTTTATATTACAATAATTCTTGTACTGATCTTATACCTACTTCTTAATAATTCATGAGCTTCCATTTTGGAATCTTGGTAAAGAAATGGCTGACGCGATGTCGGGATTTAGGAGTTTCCCCACTGCAGGTAAATACGTGCTTATTAATATAAAGTTTACCATTGCGCCCTTCCTTATACTTCGAAAGTCGTCATTATTGATTATGTAATTTCCTCTATTCAACGATGTGAACCCATAAATGCCACGTTATCAAGAAACAAACATAATATTATTTCAGTAAACCACTTAAAAAGGACAGTGAGATACATAGCATTAAATACAATTATGTTTTTATTACAAAATGTAGGCTTTGGTTCAAGTAATTGCTTTATGGACTAAAGTGATAAAAAGCTCCGTATCTTATGTGCTTCTTAAAGAATCTCAAATCACTTCTCGACAGATAAGGTACCTAATCTGAAACTGAATTATAGTCCGAGTCATTGTTTAAATACTTCACGTTACGTAATGTGTTATATTGTTTCATACGGAGACGGATTCCCAGAATAACGAACCTTGCAAAACTGTTCTGGAAGTCTTTCGTGGTTATCGGCTTATTAATTTTCTACTATAAGTATTTCCTAATTTGATACTTCCTAAGTTAACCTGAAGTTAAAACATTTTTTCTTGTAGTAAATTGCAACTATACATTTTCCTCGTTGCCTTTTCGTAAGTCAATTACCAGGATGCGTATTAATATACAGTGCTCCAACACTCGACCTCGGTACTTAAGAGTCATAATGGTTATGTGACTTGGAGTAGAAAATATAGGAATATATAGAACGTTCCAAAAAGATGTATACACGTAACTGCATGCTAGCCATTTCAGATTCAAAAAATAATCATTACCTTTTGCTTACGGTTCTAATTACTGTTATTTAGATGTCAGTATTCTAAATATATATATATGTTTGTGCAACTGTAAAAGGAACGAGGGCGGCTGGCGTGTTAGACGGTGGAGTTACAAACTCCGAGTGTAAATCAAACTGACGTAGTTCTGCATGTGTCTCGACCACCAAGTGCGGGGTACAGAGGTCACGTGATGGCAGCAGTCTTGAAGTTGCACTTCAGTACATACATGTAGCTTGGTCCCTCCCTCCCTCCCTCCCGACTTTACCAACGTTGCTTTTCCACTCGAATAAACTGGTAAGTTGGATTTTGTGGCAGTTACGCGTAATTGCTACCGTTACCTTAACTTGACATAAGTGTGGTCATTCAGAGACCTACAGTTCGGCAGAAATAAGCACGAGAAAAAATGACCTTGAAATTTTTAAAGCCCTCTATTCGGCAAACCCTTGGGCTGATATAATCATGATATTGACATAATTTTGACCTATCCGTGATCTCAACTTGACATGAGTATGCTCATTCAGAGACCTACAGTTCGGCAGAAATAAGCATGATAAAATGATTTAATTCTTCTGAGTAATGGAAGGATTTAGTGGTTGGCTGTTAGTTAACACGATAATTGAACTTCGTTTTTCATAAAATGCGAAGGCATTTTTTATGTTTTTTAACTGTTAGCATAAACAATGTTTATTTTACTATAGGCGCCATTTTGAATTTTCTTACTTTGATGTGAGATAAGATATCTCAAGCTGACTGCGTGAAGGTCAAGTGTTGACAGAAACGGATTCCAGTGTCTTAGAATCCTTCGTAGGAAGAAAGTTGATAAAATATACACATGGGATTTTACATCGCTTTTAATTTATTCTGCTAATCTTAAAATGTGTTAGACAATCTCATCTGATCGGGCAAATGATACATTTATCTGAGATTATAACAAAGAACTTTATTTTGGTAACTTTTTTTAGATGCTATCACAAAATTGATACCGTAAGCTCAAACCTAGTACAATGAAATGTGGACATTCCCGCATCTTATCTACTGACCACTTGATGAAATCACTGATATACACTTTTAACTTAAAGTAATTGTTGGTATAATTAGGACATAATACTTAAAGCTGTGATAGGATAAATGATACGACTCAGATTAATCAGCGGTTATTTCCCTAAACGACATTTTTTAATAGATCTTTGTAATGGAAATGTTGTCATGATGTTTTTGGCCCCTTGTAGACTTGTAGGTATAAGCTGACGTTTCGGAAACACACACAAATACACACACACACATGTAGGGCTGAAGTGGTGATGCTGGGAAGTGAAGGGTCGTATATAGGACAGAGGAAGAGAAGACTGTGGGGGTAGGCCAATCAGAGACGAGAAATGGGGGGGGATCCTTATTCTTCCTTTAACTCTATATACATAACTCCATTTCTCACCATCGCAACTTCGGCCCCGAAGATGGAGGCAATTTGTTTCTCCGAAACGTTGGTGTCTTCCCACGGGTATAGACGGCGCCAAAACCCAGATCATCATCCTCAACGCAATAAAACCTGAAATCTCATATAATGAGACTTATTTTTTCTTGTAGGTAGGATGTGTGTTTAAGTATTATTCTGATCTGCTTCGTGACTTAAAGAGTTAAAAAACAAGAATATAATATTTACGTTTTATCTATAATGTGCATTGGCATTGAATCTGCAGGCAATAAGGGCCTTGGTTAGCATTCCGTGCAGAAACTGTGCTTCATTGCGCAGACGATTTTCGTTCTGGAGACCAGTAGGCAAGCAGCAGGGAATGCCGCGATATTCCTAATTCATATTCAAGTTGCGTTCCATCTTTTCCGGCGAGGTAAAGACGTTAATAACTCGAGACTAACGTTCACGTCAAAATTTATTTTAATGTCGAGACAAGGAGAATGGGGTGCGTTAAACTTGTGTGTAGCCAGTAGCAGGTTGTTAAGGAGACAGGAATAACTTTGGGCGTGTATAAATGTTCAGATTTTTCATGAACCCTTACACCGGAATGTACAATAATTCATATACAGAGCGTGTTGTGTGGAGAGTTTATTGATTGTTCTCTAGGTATTAATTTTTTTGTTTCATTTTTATAGAATGGCGTAGTGATAACAACGCAGTGTTTGGGTTTATTTACAGTCTGCTGACATATTAGCAGAAAAATTTGCGTACTTATATCTTGACTCCTGGAAATCATGAAAATAAATTGTAACTTTGGATTGAACCGTCAAGAAAATTCTGATTAGTTTTCTACGTATTAAAATGTTCAGTTGTTCCATGGTATATCACATAGTTGTAGTTTTTGTTCCTAGGTTATCCGGCCAATCCATTACCCTCATTGGTCGTGTTAGCTGCAGGAAGTCCTGTTGTGTGTGTGGTTTTTAAAACTGCAGCATTATGTATGTTTATATGTTTTCACATATCATCCTAGATTTTCAGAAACTGGAATTTATCAAAAATTTCTGTACAATTTATTCGCCGATACGCGTTTCGTTGTATTTTTATAATACCACACTGTTACATATTACGAAACACCCGTTACTTCCAATTACTGTGGTGTAATATTTCATGATTACTTAAATCCGAGCTTTGCTTGGTCTCCGCAGTGCTAATTCCCATGCGTTCTTGGCGATAGCCTACAGAAACACAACGCTTCTTGAGTTGCGTGGGTTTGATTACACCTACTGGGTATGACACAGAGGATTTGAATAGCAAATTACTCCCTGTCTTGAACTTCATTCTGACGACCTTCGACCCTCTTTAGAATAGAACTTTAGTTTGTGTCAGATTATTTTCGTTAGTCCGTACTGTATTTCACTGCATTAATAAAGACAATTAATGACGATATTTATTGTAAGTACAGTAAAGGAGGGAATGGTAGGTAATAGAGGAGGAGACGGTGTAACACAAAGAATAATCCCGACAAAACTGGACTCGTCTACATGTGAGGATAATATTAAAATGGATGTTAGAAAATATGGTTTTGAGGTTTAGATAGGTTTCATCTGGCTCAGAATAGTTATCTGTGGAAGGTTTTTGTGAATGTGGCAATGAGTCTTTGAGTTTCTTAAAATACAGGGAATTTATTGACTAACTGAGCGTACTGTGAGCTTCTCAGAAGGTACTTGGCTTCATG